GGGGGTGAGATAACAAGGAGAGGGATGGGAGGGAGAGGTAGAGAGCAAGTGGATGGGGTTAGGCAAAGAGAGGAGTAAAAAAAGAGAGCTGTACTGCGCACCATGATTACTTTTCTTAATTAAGATTAAATTGGGGGAATACACATCGTATCATATTAACAGAATTACCTCGTGACTGGACTGAAGCAGACTTTTAGCCCCGTCACCACACTGCGGCCCTGCTCCATACTCCAGCGTGGCAGGATGTTACAGGCAGGCCTGCCACCTGACCTGCAGGCCAAGGGAATGGATGACCTGTAGGGGCTTCTTGTCTCTAACCCGCTCCATACGTCGAAGGGTGCAAGACGATTCTCTGAAATCTTTCTCTTTACCTAGTTATGGCAGTCTCTCTGACCTGTCCATTCCTCCTCCTGCTGCCTGTCTGCACATCCCTCCGTCTCGACGTCTGTCTGTTTGCCCAACTTTCCGTCTGCCTATCCGCACGTCAGGCCTCCCGCCCCTGCGCCGTCCCACCCACCTGTCTATTTATTCTAACTGACCTCTCCGCACTGCGGTGTGTCAGGTCACCGGCCGTTACCTCCTTCTTCCTCCCGACCTCCTTGTAAGGGCTGACGATTCTCAACCATCTGGACAAAAAGGATTTTTTTTTTTTGCAGATTCCATGATTTTTGTAAACAAAATGTATTTGTTTGAAGCGATCTATGGCCCTTGGGTTCACTCTGTTTAATTAATAAATAGCAGGGAAGCCTGGTAAATTGGAGTCGTCTGTGGTTTAGTGGTTCCTGCCCTTCGTTTTGTATATCTATACCCCATTACCCATTTTCTAACAGTCTGGTAAATTATGAAAGAGGGGAGGGGGGACCTGGTGCATGGGTAACAGCTTCTCCATAGTGACCTACCCCTGGCTTTACGCCCTGTTACATGTTGGAAGGACATTAACAATTCTGTTCTAGTCCTTAGAATGAAGCAGAATTTTAAGTGCCATCTTAAAAAGGCACCCTGCCATGTGGAGTGCCATCTTATCATGTGAAGATGACACTCAGGGTTAAGTGCTATCTTCACATGGCACTTAACTCTGAGATTGCCAGGCTCAATCATCCCTCAATAGCCAGACAAATACGATCAGATCACAGCTATCGACCCCTACCTTACGCTTACGGTGATCGGTCGGTTTAGCCTGACTCCCTGCTTCCTGGCCAGGCCTGTACATCCCCATCAGTGGTAGAGTACGCGATTGGTACAGCTGGGGTCGCAGGTTCGAGCCCTCCTCGCAGCCCTGGTGGATTTTCTCCAACGTTACTTGACCTCATAATCACAATCAGTTGCCTAATTTCTGTATTTCTTGTCATCTTGATTACTATTTTCTGTTCAACATCGTCATTCACTGGTCTCCAATCTGCTTTGTTTTGGTCACCGTTTCAAAAGTTTTTTCCTACAAAAAACACGGTCAAAATACTTGTGGTTGTATTTCATGATTAACTAGGATAAGATTGGGATCAATATAAAATTGTTTGAAATGAGGCAAATTTTAAATTAAGATTCACGTCTAGAAGTTTAAGCAATTTAAAATCATTTAATGATAGTCTTCTGCATTATCCTGACTTTGTGAGGTCTGGTTTACATCATACAGTTCAGTTTTGGCCAGCAGACTATATATTCACCTGAACGTGTGCAGAGAACGACTACAAAGCTACGTCCAGAAATTAGAAATCAGGGATTGTGAAGGGAGATTGAGGAAAGGCCTGGGTAAATACGGGCTTGCTAATAGGGGTGGCTGATTTATGCTAGAAATTGCCAGGTAATATACGTAGGATCGCTGGATTGTTTCATTCGTAGGTTAGACATGAACCGGCTGTCTCGTATGGGTTAATAGGTCTTCTGTTTTATTTCGTCTTGTGTGTGTGTGTAATTACCCAAGTGTAGATACAGGATGAGAGCTACGCTTGTGGTGTCCCGTCTTCCCAGTACTCTTTGTCGTATAACGACAAAGAGTGGTGTGTGTGTGTGTGTGTATGTGAAGTGACAACCTAGGTTTACAAAGAGGGCGGGTGATTGATTGATTGATAAAGGTTAAGCCACCCCAGAGGTGGCACGGGCATGAATATCCCGTAAGAGGGCGGATATGCAGGAAGGACGGGTAACTATACACAAGGAGACACAGACAATATAAATTAATAGCAAGACGAAGAGACTAAACACCCCAGACACACACGACACTCACCTCAATAAAGAGAAAAAGTGTAAATAGCAAAGTGCAGTGCAAAAGTGCAGAGGTACATTGAACAGTCTACATTCCCGGGTATCAAAAGGTGGCCGGGGTGACTGGTGCTTGGAAGGGGGGAGGGAGAGAGAGAGGGGGGAGGTGGTGAAAGGAAGTGGAAAATGAAAATAAGGAAATAGGAGGGAAAAGTGGATAGAAAGTGTGGCTGAATGAGGTATTGTTAATAATTCAAAGCATCTTGATGGGATGGGGAAGTTTGAGGTAATGGGAAGAGGGAGTGAGGAAGGAAGGAAGGGGGAAGTGAGGGGTGAATGGAGGTAACGAGAAGAGGGAAGTGAAGGGAAGGTCAAGCTAACGGGGAGGATGGAGATTGAGTGACGGGAGAGGGAGGGGGGGGGAGGTTTAAGGCAGTGGTGACAGAGAATAAGGAATGAGTTCAGATAAGGATGAGAAAGTGAGGGGTTGTGAGGTCATGAGGTGTGAGGGTAACTTGTGTCGTGACTCGATGGGTATAGTTAGAGCTCCATGGTGATAAGGTGTTACGGGCTCACCATAGCCCGTGCTACATGGACACTTCTTCCTGAGTAGCTAAATCTTTAACAACAACATGATAAGGTGGTCATTACGATGTTAGTGTTGATAATGACATGATGAAACTACTGCTGCGAAGGGATGGTGATGATTGTGATAATGATGGTGATGAAAATGATGGTGTTGATGATGACAGGGACAGACGGGTGAGACAGAGGAAACCAGCGGGTAAAGAGAAGGTCTCTAAGGAGAACAGACTCCTTAGAAACCTTTAGAACTCTCTTAAAATCTGGAATACGAATGGAGAAAGATCGGAGAAATTCAAGTAATGCTGAGAGCATCTGAAGCGTGACAAGAACAAAGGAGAAAGTAAGAAAAGTGAAAGAGCAGGAAGAATGAGTGAGTAGGAAGACAAAGATGAAATGAGAAAACATGGAGCTGGAAACAAAAGAGATGAAGCTAAGGAGAGAGAGAGAGAGAGAGAGAGAGAGAGAGAGAGAGAGAGAGAGAGAGAGAGTATATCTCGAACAACCCTCATATGAGTAAGTGAATGAGTAGAAAGACTAGGTGACTCATTCATTCATATTCATTGAATGAGAGAATCCCAGTGGAAGAGGAGATACAGGAGAGGGGAGTGAAGGTGGCCGTTATCCCCAGGTGGTCCAAGCTGAGGGGGCCAACATCTTGTACGGTACTTTCTTTGTCATTCAAAACGCCAAGTCAAATATCGCGCTATGGCTAAAGCAACATTGAGCGAACCATTACAATATCAAGAGGTTCCCCACAACACAGGTCCCGAGACAGTGTGTGAATACAAGGAAACTGTGTCGGACTTTGACCTCACGACACTGAAAAAAAGCCCTGAGAGGACATGGTCATACATACATACATACATACATACATACATACATACATACATACATACATACATACATACATACATACATACATACATACATATATTGCCTTGAATACACAGGCAAACAAGCAGTCAGTCTTTCAGTCCAAAAAACATGTTAGTATTATGATGTTACTTCTGCCCATTTTCCTCATACGAGTATGTGTACAAGAGGCAGCTTAGTCCTATTGTTTGTCCCCCACATAATTCTTCACATGTATTTTGCACAGACCTGCTTGTCCTGCGAGTGAGGTGTTACAGGCTACTTGCTCTTAGGTTACTTAGAGCAAGTAACCTAAGTTAGGACACTTAAGTTACTTGGTCATAGTGTCTGCAGGAAAACTATAGTGTCCTGGGGGGGACGGCTATTTGTCACTTTGCATTGCATCTAAGCCAGAAAAGCTATTCTAGTATGACACTGACAAGCAAAGAGGCATGTAGGCAGACAGACAGACAGACAGACAGACAGACAGACAGACAGACAGACAGACAGACAGACAGACGAGGGTAGCAGGGAGACGGGAGCCTGGCATACTTACAAGCACACAGACATAACGGTGTTATCTGGCAGCAGATCAAAACTTAACACGCGGAAACGTTAATAATAAGGTGGAGACTAATAATATACCTCGCCCCACACACAACAGGTTTGTTGCTCACTCCAGCCTCGCTGCTTATCAAAGTGATACGAGTTTGTCTAGTTCATATATTATGAAAACTGACTCGTACTGTGAGTGGGGTGTAGACCCCCATACCCATCATGTGGGTGGGTGTGGATCCTCATACCCATTTTGTGGGTGGGTGTGGATCCTATACCCATCATGTGGGTGGGTGTGGATCCTCATACCCATCATGTGGGTGGGTGTGGATCCTATACCTATCATGTGGGTGGGTGTGGATCCTATACCCATCATGTGGGTGGGTGTGGACCCCCATACCCATCATGTGAGCGATAGTGGAATAGAATACACACAGTAGACTCAGCACCTAATTATAGGAAATTACGAATAAGTTTAAGATTTCTATAACTCGATATATTTCGCTCGGAACAATCACAATGATTTCACTTTCTTCCTTTCTTTCTTTCTTCTTTAGTTGAGATATTTTATATATATTTTATTTTTACGAATATCCGTTGCTGTTTGTTTTCTTCGTATCTGTAAATTAAATGTGTATTTTTATGAGTTGTATTTACAAAAAAATTGTGATCTTTTATAGGATTTAATCCCGGAAGCATTGGTAGGCAGAGCAATAAATGTTTGATTAACATTACAAGCAACAGGCTTAGTAACGTTGTAGCACAAGTTGTGACGACATTGACAGGTTATAACTTGTGTGTGTGTGTTACAGAGAGTGGCAGTAGCGGAGAGCGCGGCAGAGAGCCTCGGCCCGACGACCACTCCGACAAGGACAAATCAGGTAGGTGGATAGTTCCTCTCTCCCCAGGGTGGACGCCGCGGCCCCAGGGTGTGGCTCGAGTGGATAGGAAGGATGTGGTGTGGGTGTGGCTAACACCATGGGCGTTAGGGCGCCCATGGTGGAGGTTACATATTTGTTTATGGATAGAGTGAATGGAGTTTTTGTGTGTGATTCATATTGGAATTTTCTGCTTTGCATTTTAAAGGCCTTGCTGGGAGATGTAACGTAGTGACTTAGTTTAATTTTTGTCCATTTTCAATGGTTTTTCATTTGCCATTGTGCATACATTTATTCACAAGGTATTTAATGCATAATATTACCTTTTATATTATTGTTCATGAACTCCCAGTAAGGTCAGGAATGTGAATCAATAATTTTATATTTGGAAATTAATATTGTCAAAATAAATGGTATGGATATCAGCAAGAATGACGGAAAGATATCTAATATATGTTTAGGATGTAAACTGCGTTATATTTTAGCAGAGCTTCGGTCACTGTGTGTTAGTGCATGAAGGTGTTTTATGTCTTAAGACATAACCATGTCTTAAGACAAACCTTGTCAATAACAAGTTCTATAATGACGGTTTTCTCTCAAGCAGATATCTAATTGTCTGCATTTAGCTTAAACATTATGTAGATGATTGTCAAATGTTATATATTTGGTAAATATTCTTATAAAATTGTAATCTTCATTGTCATACAATCATTAGAGGGTATGATGATAGTATATGTCTGTCTCTAAGGCAGAGTGTGTGAGGAACTGGACGGAACCTTCTTCAGCACTGATTAACATGTATTCAGAATAAATTATATCATTATAAATTATTATACAACGGTCATATAATTCTGAAGACATTAGAGGATCTTGTTAAGAACATGTTCCGGCCAAAACCTCACTGTAACGATGCTCTTCTTTATCTGTGATCACTTATACAATTAGATTATTCTCTGTGACGTAACTTTTATGTCTTGTGTAATATTTTTTGAAGAAAACCTGTTGAAGAATTGGTCTCAAAATTATATACGTGATATGTTTGTCTCTCTCCAGACAGAGCACTGTTGTGGAATGTTATAATAAGTAGTGAATTATTGTATGGAATGCTGGGAATGTTGACTGTTTTGGAATGTTGACAGTTTTGGAATGTAGAATGTTTTGGAATGTATTATATAGTGAATGCTGCTCGAACAAGCATGTAATTTTGCCCCTTTAATGAGAGCCTGACTTGGCTGTCAAAAGCATGACCACTAAGGATTATTTGTTAATAATTGGTTATATTCAGGTATGTAATTGAGAAATGTTCGTTTCATTTTCTTCACGTTTATACACTTGTATTACAAACCGTTCCTTTAGTATTCTTCGTTTCAGCTGAACTGTTTTATCCAGCAGTTTAAGGAAGAGATTTTGAAATATATTTTGTTTATAATAAGAGTGCCAACTTCCCATAATCTTATCGAAAACTTCCCCCATAATTTTCACTAGAACTTACTCTTAACTTTCACCAGAATAGCCCCATAACTTTCACCAAAACGTCTCCATAACTTTAACCACAAGTTATCCACAACTTACACCACACCTTTTCCAAAGCATTCACTACAGGGTTCTCATATATCTTTTACCACAACTTCCCCCTAACTTTGGCAACTTCCCCCGCCCCCACAGCTTTAACTAAAACTTTCACTACAACTTCTCCATAACTTTCGTCACAATGTAATCTCAATTTCCACGAAAACTTCCCCATCTTCCTCATAATTTTCAGAATTTCTCCACAGTTTCCCCATAATTTTTGCCACACCTATGTATATATATATATATATATATATATATATATATATATATATATATATATATATATATATATATATATATATATATATATATATATATATATATATATATATATATATATATATATATATATATATATATATATATATATATATATATATATATATATATATATATATATATATATATATATATATATATATATATATATATATATATATAGAGGAGAAGTATCGATGCAGACATAAGCGATTCATCCTTGGGGTGAGATTGGTGTCAGGATTTTTTTTTCCCCTCTGGTTTATTCTTTTCCTGGCAATCACGTGACCTTGACGTCAGATGTAAACAAAGCTGTCTACCATTCACGAACGCATTTGAGACTGACGTCATCATGGGCGCCAGACGAACGTACTTCCTTTACATTCAATTGATTGATAAAGATTCAGCCACCCAAGAGGTGGCACGGGCATGAATAGCCCGTAAGTGGTACATTCAATGTGTTCTCGTCTCTGTATTTAAGTGCTTAGAATATTGAAGGGTGTAATTAGTGGAGAGTTGTATATAGGCCTCAAGAAATATTATTGGTGATAATGAGTCTTTAAGATGGTGATTATGACCAATGGTTACGTCAGTTCAATCTGGTCTGACCCTTAATACACTGTAATTTGTACGCTGTAACCCACAGCGTCAAAATACCCGGGGCCAGATTCACGAAGCGGTTACGCAAGTAATTACGAACGTGTACATCTTTCCTCAATCTTTGACGGCTTTGGTTACATTTATTAAACAGTTTACAAGCATGAAAACTTGCCAATCAACTGTTGTTATTGGTATAAACAGCCTCCTGGTGCTTCGGAGCTCATTAACTGTTTTATAACTGTAAACAAAGCCGCCAAAGATTGAGAAAAGATGTACAGGTTCCTAAGTGCCTGCGTAACCGCTTCGTGTATCTGGCCCTCAGTGCTTAAGTGAACTATAAAGCACCGCAGTAACGACGATTCAACTGGCTCCAAAGAGCTTCCACTTACGGGCTCACCATAGCCCGTGCTACTGGAACTTATTGTTCTGAGTAGCGAATCTTAAACAACAACAATAACGACGATTCAAAGGGAGTCGACCAATGTTCAGTGTCTTGACGCGATGTTTTCGCTTCGGGCTAGACCTAGTCGAGGACCGGGCCGCGGGGACGCTAAGCCCCGAAGTCATCTCACGGTAAGGTAGGCAAAAACAACATTAAATTTGACGCTTAACGAATATCGTGACAGCCAGACAAGACAACATCTGAACTATATATCCCTCGGAGGTGATTAAGAGGGAGGATGATAGCGGCTATCAGGCTATCACCAGCCCACATCTTCTAAGGAATAACAATGATATCATTAATGAAGATGCTATAACGACATATGATATCGTCGCCTGTATAAAAGCTGCAATGATATATAGGTGACAGTAAGGTTGACAAGGGAGAGGAGTGAGGGATAGGTCAGAGAGTGAGGAATAGATCAGGGAGAGTGAGGAATAGATCAGGGAAGATGAGGGATATGAGAGTGAGTAGGATATCTGGGAGGGGTGTCTGGGATAGATAGGGTAAAGGGGACGGGATGGAAGAGGGTCGACAGGGATAGGTATGCTCGCGAGGGTGGGAGGGGCGAGCAAGGAAGGGCGTCGAGGATAGTTGTTCTGGGACAATTATAGAGGTTAATTGTCCATGGAGGAACCTTAGCCAAGGGGGGATGGGGGGGGGGGAAGGCGACCCCCCCCTGTTCTCTGTAGTTACGACCACATCCCTTCAGGAAGTTACGACCACATCCCTTCAGGTAGAGTTACGACCACATTCCTTCAGGTAGAGTTACGACCACATCCCTTCAGGTAGAGTTACGACCACATCCCTTCAGGTAGAGTTACGACCACATTCCTTCAGGTAGAGTTACGACCACATCCCTTCAGGTAGAGTTACGACCACATTCCTTCAGGTAGAGTTACGACTACATCCCTTCAGGTAGAGTTACGACTACATCCCTTCAGGTAGAGTTACGACCACATCCCTTCAGGTAGAGTTACGACTACATCCCTTCAGGTAGAGTTACGACCACATCCCTTCAGGTAGAGTTACGACCACATCCCTTCAGGTAGAGTTACGACCACAGATGGACGAAATGTTACTCCTTTGCTTCTGTAGGAATTCAGGAATAAAACTTAGCTTTATCTGATTTTTTTGCCTCAGAGTGCTTCTGATTCTGAGTGAAGTGGCAATCTCCTCTAGGTTGCAGCACTGCCTCAACTAGCGCCTCAACTAGCGCCTTAACCATCGCGTCAACTAGCCCTCATCGTGATGGGTAAGCAAGAGCAACTTGGCAGAAATTCTCTTAAGGGGGAATGGAAATTTATGTAGACTTGCTGGTGATTATAGGTAACTGGCCTCATTAGTGTCGTTAGCGCGGGTGATGTGCCAGTAGGGTGCCCGCAACCTGTGTGTTGGCACCTAGGCACTCTACCGCCATGTGGGTGGCACCCGGGCCACTTGTGTGTATAGTGGTCTTCCTCGGTTTACCTGTAGTCATGTGGTTTACCTGCAGCCGGTTTCTAGAATTCTACTCCCCCGAAACCCAGCCTGGGGTCAGGTTTGTTTGGCGAGAACTTGATTTAAGGAGCTGTTGCTTGCAGCAATCTGCAGGCCTACAGCTCCATTACAATCCGACACTCTCTGTAGAACCGCATTTCTGTTTCCTCCTGGGAACCTCTACTTGTGTCTTGGCATTGATTGATTGATGAAGATTAAGCCGCCCAAGAGGTGGCACGGGCATGAATAGCCCGTAAGTGGTAGATTTTTTGGAGTGAATGTGATCTATTGGTCGTGTAAGGATATACTGCGTGCTGTGCTGGCATTTAAATCGTCAGTCCTTACTATGTGGCTGCTATCACGGGATAGGATAGTGCTTAACAGTATTTATGAGTGTTCCGGCTTGTTGTTGTTTTAGATTTATCTACTCAGAACGAAATGTCCATGTAGCACGGGCTATGGTGAGCCCGCAAAGTGTCCTGGCAGTGTGCTCTAAGTTTATATGTTTGTGTGTCTCCCTCTCCTACCCCTCTCCCCCCTCCCTCCACCACCCTGCTGCCCGTACTCATTATTCCTCAAGACTGTCCTACTAAAACTTGCCTGAATATAGAGCAACTGAGCGAGTTTGAAGCGAGAAGCCCGGGTATGGTGG